TCTTCTCTCTCTCTATGTATCTCTCTCTCTCTCTCTCTTCTATCTCTCTCTCTGTCTTCTCTCTCTCTCTGTCTCTCTCTCTGTCTCTCTGTCTCTCTGTCTCTCTGTCTCTCTCTCTCTCTCTCTCTCTGTCTCTCTCTCTCTCTGTCTCTCTCTCTCTCTCTGTCTCTCTCTCTCTCTGTCTCTGTCTCTCTCTCTCTTCTGTCTCTGTCTCTGTCTCTCTCTCTCTCTCTCTCTCTCTCTCTCTCTCTCTTCTCTCTCTCTCTCTCTCTCTCTCTCTGTCTCTGTCTCTGTCTCTGTCTCTGTCTCTCTCTATCTCTCTCTCTCTCTCTCTCTCTCTCTCTCTCTCTCTCTCTCTCTCTCTCTCTGTCTCTGTCTCTGTCTCTGTCTCTGTCTCTGTCTCTGTCTCTGTCTCTGTCTCTGTCTCTGTCTCTGTCTCTGTCTCTGTCTCTGTCTCTGTCTCTCTCTCTCTCTCTCTCTCTCTCTCTCTCTCTCTCTCTCTCTCTCTCTCTCTCTCTCTCTCTCTCTCTCTCTCTCTCTCTCTCTCTCTCTCTCTCTCTGTCTCTCTCTCTCTCTCTCTCTCTCTCTCTCTCTCTCTCTCTCTCTCTCTCTCTCTCTCTCTCTCTCTCTCTCTCTCTCTCTCGCTCGCGCGCGGCGGGTTGTCGGGGTCCCGCTCGGTCAGTGACGTCACCCTGCGCGGCACGTATGCGCGGTGGCCATACACCATAAGGCTGCATACACCTTTACGTTCTATATTCTGGGTAACAGGTATTGGTAATTATCGCTCAGGAACGTACTGGGTGTCTGGGATACTCTTCACAGTAGGTGGAGCCAGTGGTCTGCGTGAGCGTGAAATTTCGTCTGAACTGTCGGCTGCCTGATTTTGAGGCTGCCAACTCTTCTGACTGACCGCGCTGCCCTGCCGTGCTGACAAATTGTCCAGCCCCGCTGACTGTCTGCCCTGCTGACTGTCTGCCCGGGCCTCCCCAAGTGACAAAATGTCTTGTCCCGCTGACTGGCTGCCCAGCCCCGCTGCCTGACAAAATGTCCTGTCGCGCTGACCGGCTGCCGGCGCTGTATGTCCTGTCGCGCTGACCGGCGCTGTATGTCCAGTCGCGCTGACCGGCGCCGTATGTCCTGTCGCGCTGACCGGCTGCCGGCGCTGTCCGCGCAGACGCCCTGTTCGCTCTGTGGAGTACGGCCGAGGCGGAGACGCAGCTGTGCTACTACGGGCTGTCGGGCGCCGCCGACGCCGCCGGCTGGGCCGAGGTGGCGCTGGAGCCGCCGCCGCCGGCCGTGCTGCCGGCCGCAGCCGAGCACCTCAGCCAGAGCTACTTGCGACACATCTTCCACCCGGGCAGGTGGGACAGCGGGACGGGACAGTGGGGGACGGGTGGGACAGCGGGACGGGACAGTGGGGGACGGGTAGGACAGCGGGGACCGACAGTGGGGGACGGGTGGGACGCGGGGCGGGACTGTGGGACGGGACTGTGGGGGACGGGTGGGACAGCGGGACGGGACTGTGGGGACGGGTGGGACAGCGGGACGGGACTGTGGGGACGGGTGGGACAGCGGGACGGGACTGTGGGGGACGGGTGGGTCAGCGGGACGGGACGGGTGGGACGCGGGGCGGGACACAGGTCCGCTGACGGTCGGCCCGCCCGGCAGGTTCCAGCTGAGCACGCTGCAGCGCGCGGTCAGTATCCGCAGCCGGGTGGCCTGCACCGAGACGGACGCGCGCCGCCTCCGCGCCGCCGTGGTGGCCGCCGTCGAGGCCGACATCCAGCGCTCGGTGCCCGACTCTCAGTCTCAGCTGACCGCCGACCAGTTTGCCGAGCTGACGCAGGCGGCCTGGGAGTCGCTCTACTCGGCCTGTCTGCAGTACCACCAGGCCGACACCAAGCCGATGGGCCTGTGCGCAGACGCCGGCTCTGGCCAGGTGTGTGTGGTGCGCCGGGCGTTGGTCAGCTACCTGCGGCCGGCCGGCCTGCTGGAGCGGCTGTGGCTCTCGGAGCTGACGGAGCCCGAGGACCTGTGCGCGCCCGACGACCGCCTGCAGGCCGACGTGGCGCGCCTGGTGCAGTGCTGCCGGCTGCTGGAGGGCCACCTCTCGGAGCAGCTGTGGGCGGCCGTGCGACAGGACCTGGCGCACCTGGTGCCGCCGGACGCGATTGCCGCCTCGGTGGTGGCCAAAGTGTCGGAGGAGCCGACGGCCGAGTTCGCCGCCTTCCGAGACCTGCTGGCCGAGCGGCTGGCCGCCATGGACTCGCTGTCGGCCGCGCTGGCCAGGCTCGTCGAGTTTCTGCAGGTACGTGCAGACGGCGGACGGGTGGGGTCATTGCGCCCGCTGGAGTGGCGGCATTAAAGGGACTATCCCACCTTCTAAAATGTTGTTAAAACCAGTCAAATTGTGCCCGACTTTATAGATTGGATGACTAGGAACACGGTTCTGGCATTTATTTTTCATTAAACATCTTAGGCTTCCCATATTCCAAACACAAACTTTCAAATATGTGACGTCACAGCCCAAAATTACCTCCTTCCCCAGGCCACATTACTGTCATAAAGCTGATTCTTTTTACTCTGTAGGCACCACAACAAAGTTCAGACCAAGTTTTAAGCGATTTTTCAACGAACAAACCCATTTAAATCAGAATGACTAAACGAGGTGACGTCACACTAACGGTCGCTCCATGTTGAAGATAGGGCCTTGCGCAAGGCCCATTTTCAAATGAAGGGAACGAATTTCTTCAACACCAAGAGGCCGCGGGGGTTGCAACCTAGATAGATAGTGGTTTCTGAACCTCGCCGCAAACTTGGCTATCTCAACTCAAACCCCGTGTTAACCCGCGAGTTGCTGGGGGGGGCGTTAAACGCCCCCACTTTTTTCGCCGGGTCATAGCATAAAAACGGCGCGCCGCAGGCGCGCCAAATTTTGGGTACCTGTAGGGAATTGATAAAAGTTTATTGTGACAAAGTTTCAAAAAAATCGGTCGGAAATTTTTTGAGATATCGAGGTTTTAGTGACGTCATGATTTCTGAGTTTTCGACCAAAAACGGCATATGTTCAAAAAATCATATAAAATCACAGAATAGACATACAGACATGCCGTAAACGCCATTAGACTGCCAATACCATGATCAATCAAATGGCTATCTTCGATTATTGATTATCGCTCCGCATTTTCCATAATCTTGAACTGAATCTTGGCAATTTTTCGTGACTACTTCACGACCATGATACATGCATTTCTTAAATTGAACTTTTTGAGCCAAACACGTACACATATGATAAAATGAATGTAACCATCGTGTTCTACGCCCCAAATTACCTATAAAACATGTGTCACAGGCTGCGAATATCAGTTTTGATTTTTGGGGATATGTGCCTACCCGGTTGACCTGACCTTGACCCTGACCTATGCTTGACTGACCCCTACATGGAGCTGACACTCTTGTAGGCCTTATATGATGGATTGTGCACCGTTTGGACAGAGTTTATGACGAGAGGCGCCCATTGCGAAGTCCTGAAGTCCATGCTACTGAAAGCCCGATTTCAGGTGTTTGACCTGACCTTGACCCGACCTGTGACCTCAAAATCCAACTTTAAGGTACTCATCTGAAGCGTCTCGTCGCGCTCTTTCGTTTGCCGCCTCGTGCGTTTCGCTGCGCCTATTGGTTCTCGAGTTATCGGCTGGGGGCGTTTAACGCCCCCCCCCCCCAGCAAACGGTGGGTGGCGAAATACCCCAGCAACTGCCGGGTTAAAGGTGGGATAGTCCCTTTAACGCTGGAAATACTAGCAGACCTTGGGGCGCGGGGTAGGATATGATTCTGCATCTGACTGACTGCTTGTGCTCCGTGATGTTGTATGTGTGGCGCGGTCGGGCGACTGACGTGCGGTCCGTGTCGGTTTGCCGGCTGCCAGGTGGACGGTGGCCCGCTGCCGCCGGCCGAGGGCGCCGGGCCGGCGCTCAGCAGCCGGCTGGGCACCGGCCTGCTGGCGGCCACCGTGCGCCAGACGGTGCGCCTCCGGTTCAGCGTGGCCACGTCGCTGGTCCTGCTGCAGACGCTGGCGCTGAAACTCAGCGAGCGTTGCCGACTGCAGGCCGAACACGAGAGCTACATCAGGGCGCGCTTCCTGCCGGAGAGCGTTATACAGGTGCGGCGGGCGGACGGCGGGCGGGTGGGCGAATCACCCCAGAATCACCTGGGGTGACCGTAAAGCGTTCACTGTTCAGCGTTGATGATAACCGCAGGCTGTTTGAAATGAGCAAACACCATTCGTTAGATTTTTTTTGACGGATCAGTCTTGGGTGGGAGGGTGTTTAGCATAGCTGGCCGCGAATCGAGACATTTTGACCGGGGCCTGGACGCAATAAAGCAGGAGATATTGATGGAGAGTGGACCTGACCCTCGCCTTGGTGGGGGTCTCAGCCAGCGTCGCCATGGTGGTGGGGGAGGGGTAATTGTATTTGGCCACACCCAATTAACTGGAAAGTAAGAGAGCCAGAAAGACGCAGAAAAATAGCAAGATATAGCTCGCTATAAGATCTTTCAGAATTAAAGAGATTATTTTTCTATCAGGCCATCACTGAGTTCACTGGAGGTCATAAAATATAAAATTATCATAAAAATTTTCTTGATTTTGACAATTTTCACAACTCGGCATGTAACACCTCATGAATCAAAAGAGCCAGGCGTCTCGGAAAAACGCATTCGATAGCCCCTCCAAAGCTCTCGCTTACATTCCTCGACATATTTTGACCTCAGGTGAACGGTTTGACCCACATAGAGCAAAATCCACCAAAATATATTTGAGGAAGCAATTTTGCCAACAATTCTAAAGATAATTGTCTGACTTTCATTTTGCCACCACCGTGTTTCTTATGTCGGGACGCATCGATTGACGGATAATATTAATTTGAGCTGAAACTGTCAATTTCAAAATTTGACCTCAGTTCCAGGTCATGACCTGATTGTTAAGGTCGTGCTGCTTATCAATGATCCGTATCGGTATCCTGAACACATTCCAGGTATTTCGTCTCTCTACTATGTCTCCATCAGAAGTTGTACAAAAAAAAAAAACTGGTAAAAAAGCAAAGGCCTTTTGTGACCTAGCATGACCTTTTGAGTGACCGCTGGCAGGGTTGGGCTTAAGCTGGCTGAAATTGAATTGATGCCAGCCAGTGGCTTTTATTGATTTGCGCCGGTTTAAACCGGCATGAATTAATAAAGGCCAGTATGTAACCAACATCAAAAGCAAACAAACCCAGACTGGCATAGGTAATGCCCGCCAAGCGTCGTACCTTTCTTTTCGAACAGTTCCATCTCACAGATAGTCGGCACCGGCAGCTAGAAACCAAATGCTCGTTGACGGTACAATGTGGTGCTGTTTTTTTTTCTCAAATACGCAGCCATTTATTTCTATCATGGGCGTAGGAACCTCACGAAAAGTGAGGGGGGCAGCGAAACTTCAATGTCACTTTTTGGGAGCCCCAATACCCCTATGAATAAATTCCTTGCAGTTTTGTGCTCATCACACCTTGCTGAACCATTTCCTGCTCTTAGTTATGTATTTAAATCAAAAATAAAGATTTTACTTTAAAAAAGGCTGAAAAGGTGGGGTCACGCCCCCCCCCCCTGTTCCTACGTCTATGTTCCCTATGTATAAGATGCACAGAACGCATTGCCGTGGGCCTTGGTGTCTAGGCATGTGTAGGTGCCAACTGCTAATGTTGGCTGAGTACGTAGGCACCGAGTGTCCCAGCTTCTTTTGTTCCTTTCAACTGACAGAAACAGAAGTCATCTGCCACGCATATTGACCGATTGTCCCAGTTCCGTTGGATGATTCCCACTCGATTTGAATGCATTATCTTATGTCGATCTGAGCCGTGTCATGACAGTTGCATCTCAGTTTTTTTTTTCTAATGCGTGGCTATACGGTCATCCTACTGTCCATAATCCATATCGCATTGTCATGGTGTATTTTTTATCATGCCGCTATCAAAACTTTCAGTCAGTTTCGGGTCTATGATGAATATTTCACGAAGCAAGCAAAACGAAACGTACTTTCGAAGATAACACTAAACCTTCTGTGGCTACTGGAAAAAATCACTTTACGACAAAAAAAGTCATAAGTGGCTTTTATTTTCTTGAGGTAAAGTGGTTGAAATCAGTGTGGCATAAATTAATTTTTGCCATCTGGCCGGTTTGAACCATGATGTAAGCCGGTTTAACCCGCGCCCCACTGGGGTCTGCGTATAACACGCCCTACTGGGGGGGGGCTATTTATAGCCCCCCCCCCCTCCTAACTCCGAAACTACTGGGCCGATCGTCAAAATTCAAACGGCGTCTGATAGCCCCGGAAAAACTGTCGAGCGAAACCTAATTTCATTGACCTCGAGGTCACCGATGACGTCACAGGTCAGGTCAAAGTAAAAATTATTAGCATTTTGGCTTGTTCACGTTTTGGGCTCTGGCCGCCGTCTTACAAGTCAGGTCAGGCTCATTTTTGGATCACACACTCGTGAACAGATGCTCTAGATACCCTGAGGGTACCAAACTTGTACTTTGATTTTCAGGTCAAGGTCAGGTCATCACAGGTCACGAAAATATTATATCATGAGTCGGTCACGTGACACATGTTTTATGGTCCATTTAGGTCTGAGATTCCGAATTTGATGTCGTCTGTGTCATTGGAGGTCATTTTGAGTCGAATTTAGCTTAGGTCAGGTCACTTTCAGGTCAAAAAAGGTCAAATTTTGAAGTTGAAATTTTTCAACAAAAAAGGTGTCTATTGGATGCAGTGTGAGCTCAGGAACACGATGGTGCTATTCATATTGGCGTACGATGTCAAATACGTGCTGAAAAATTGATTTGAAAAATTAATAATTGTGAATTTTTTGCAATAATGCGTAAAACTTGGCCATTTTTGAAGATATTTAGCTAAAACTTGCTAGAGTTAGTCATAATAATGCGTTCTATCACATATATTCCGGTTTTTTCGAAAAGTCAAAAACTTTTTGGAAAAAAAATGTAAAAATATAATTTTTGGATTTTATTATATCAAATTTTCCAAATTTTCAAAATTTCGAAAATCCGAGATAGCAGTTTGATAGCGCAGTCTATTCTGAGTCCTCTCATGCAAAGAAATTGGATCTAGCTTAAAAACTGAGCTCTTGGGAGCGATTGCCGTGGTTCAATGTTTTGCGTCGAAATCGGCCGAACATTACGTCACTTTGACGTCATTTCCGGCCGACCTATAGTATATACGAAGTTCAGATTTTGACACAAGGTGTCAAATTGATGCAGCCTAAGGTACTGAAAGTTTGGCGTCGATACGTCAAGCGGTTCGGAAGTTATTGCAGAAAAACGGGAGGGGGGGCTATAAATAGCCCCCCCCCCCCCCCAGTGGGGCGCGGGTTAAACCAGGCCCTGACTGAAATTGGCCAACCCTTCACCGCTGGACATCAGCTCCGCCGTGTCACTGCATATGGTTAAAACGGTCGTGTTTCTGTAAATGGCTTGTGATTGTCACGCTTTTGTGAAAAGTATTAGGCCTTTGTGCTTTCCTCCCATAGTCTTATAATGTTTCACAATTCTGACCTGACTTCAGGTCTCAGATAGGAAAACCCCGAGATAAACATAATGCAAGTTGAAGGTGCGAAGTTCTAGAACAGAGGCTGTAGGACTGACAGAATCGCAGGTTTTTACGGGCATGGTTACTTAACTTGACCTAGTGACCTGACCTTAAGTGACCTAAAAAACAACAAATTTACATACGATGCAAAATTGATGGATTGTAAGCTACACTAATTTTCGCGGCGCTACGTGCCGTGGTTTTCTTTACATACGCAAAAAAAAGTGTGGCTAAAAACGATTGTGCCCCCCCCCCCCCAACCCGAGCGGAGGCATGGTGATTTGATGTTTGGCCAATTGAAAATGTGAATGCCGTCTGTCAATATGTGTGGCTTATCGTGCGCTGTGTTGAAGGTAGCGTTCTGTCTGACCCTGCCCCCTGCCCATCCAGGTGCAGGCGTATTTCGCGCTGCTCTGGCTGTCGGAGACGCCCGCTGAGGCCGTCTCCGGGGACAGTCAGGAGACGGCGCGCCGGCAGCTGGCGGCGCTCACCGTCCAGGAGGCGCCGCCGGCGGCCGCCGCCGCCGTCTCGGTGGCCGCCGGCCGGCTCAGCTTGCTGGAGCTGTTCGCGGCGGGCGCGGGCGGCGCGGCGGCGCGGGCCGCCTCCGGGCCGGCGGCCGGCCTGCACTCTCTGCCGGAGCAGGCGGCGGCGCTGCTGCGCCTCGTCTGGCCCGGCGGCGCCCACAGCCAGCTGCCCGAGCTGCTGCTCGCCTCCTGCCAGCACGCGGCGCTGCGCGAGTACGTGCGCCTGCACTCCACCTGGTGCGACCGCAACTCGGCGTCGCGGTGTCTGCTGCGCGGCCTGGCGCTGCTCAACCTCGGACAGCCGGACAAGGCGTGCGACGTGCTGGTGGCGTCTGCCGACTCGGTGGGCCTGGACGAGCCGCTGCTGGCGCGCCTGCTGCGGCTCGACCCGGCGCCCGACGAGCCGCACTCGCGCCTGCTGGTGCGCTACTACCTGCGCGTCATCCGGCTGCTGGAGCTGCACCACCTGCCCGACTACGTGCTCGAGCTGGCCTCGGCCGGCATCGCCGTGGCCGAGGAGGCCGACCCGAACGTGGCCACCCTGTGGGCCATCGCGTTCAAATACCACCTGCGGCTGGGACACGTGCAGGAGGCGTACGCCGCCATGACGGGCAACCCGGACGCGTCCAGTCGTGGCGACTGCCTGCACCAGCTGGTGGTGACGCTGCACGAGCGCCGCCAGCTGGCCACGCTGGTGCAGCTGCCCTACGTGGACATGCTGGGTGACGTGGTGGCCATTCTGGAGAACCGCGCGCGCGCGGCCGACCCGCTGGCGCCACAGTTCTACGACGTGCTGTACGCGTTCCACGTGGCGCGCTCCAACTATCGGAAGGCGGCGGCCGTCATGTACGAGTGGGCGCGCCGGCTGGCCGGGGAGCCGGCCGGTCTGGCGCGGCAGGCGCGCTGCTACCTGGCCTGTGTGAACGCCCTGCAGCTGGTGAGCGCCGAGTACGCGTGGATCGTGCGGCCCGAGGTGGAGGAGCGCGGCGCGCCGGCCGTCACCGTGCTCACGCTGGACGAGATACGGCGGGAGGCCGACCTGGTGGCCGCCCAGCTGCGCCTGCGCGAGTGGGAGGCGCGCGACGGTGGGGGGGCGCCGCCGGCCGGCGTCTCGGCGCTCTCGGCCGAGGAGCTGCTGGCGCGCCTGGTGGCCGCCCGGCTCTACACGGACGCCGTGCAGGTGGCGCGCGCGCACCGGCTCAGCGCCCAGCCCGTCGTGCGTGAGCTGGCCGCTGCGCTGGCCTCTGGCGCGCCCGACGGCTCCGCCTGGCAGTGGCTGGGCCGGTGCCAGCTGCCGGCCGGCGCGGCCGGCGCCGGCTCGGCCGCCGAGCAGACGGCCGCCCTGCTGCGGCACGTGCTCGCCGACGCGCCGGCCGGCGACACGCGCCTGCTGCGCGCCGCCGCCGAGCGCTTCCTGCAGCTGGGCCGGCCGCTGCCCGCCTGGCTGGCGGCCGACTACGAGCGCCGCGCCGCCGCCGAGCTGGGCCGGCTGCTGCTGCGCGCCGGCCAGCTGGAGGCGGCCGGCCGGCTGCTGGTGCGTCTGCTGGAGGCGCTGCTGGGCGCCGGCCCGGAGCGGTTCGGCGCCGGCGCACTGCACGCCGCCGCGCCGCCCGTCTGGCTGCCCTACACGCTGGTGGACCAGGTGCGCGCCGAGCTGGCGGCGCACCGCCACAGCGCCGCCTACGCCGAGCTGCACCGCCAGCTGGACGGGCGGCTGCTCACCTACCAGCAGACGGTGCAGCGCGTGTCGCGTGACATGGCCGCCGTGCGGTAGGCGGCGCCCGGCGCCGGCCCGCCCGCGGAGCGCGCCCCAGAGCGGCCGGCTCATCCTCGGCGGGCGAACCGGACGCACTGCAAGCTAAAGGCTAAAGGCAAGCTAACTGGCATTGTGGCCGCCGGAAGTCTGTCAATGTCAGCGGATAATGACCGTCGAATATCCTAAGCTGCTGCGTGACGAGCATCTTTGAGCGTTGGAGATCTCAGATGGCGAACCGTGGGATGGCTGATTGCCTGCTCTTTGCCGCGAGTTCCTGGCCTGTCAGTACGCAGAGCCGTTACGGAGCGTTCATTCATGTCCTGAAAACTCTTCAGCCGACTCATGAAATACACAAATGCATTGTAGGTCGTTTGCTGTTGCGATAGGATTCAGTAGCGCACTCTATCTAGCGGTGGCGGTGGGCGCCAGCAGCCCGGCCCCTGTCAGAACGGTACATGACAGGGGGCGCTGACCGGTCCCTGTCAGAACGGTACGCGACAGGGGGCGCCTGGTCGCTGGTGCATGGTCGGGTTGCAGGCAAAAATATGTATCGGCGCATCGCTGAAGTATGTACATACGTAGGAGAGAAGTGCTTTAGCAACAGTACACAGGATAAAAGCAAAAGTTGGCATGATATAAAGTACATCAAGGAGTAAGGACAAAATTACGTAGGTCGCAAACGTTCGTACAGTAATGGAGTAAATATGGACGAAGTACGTCAACGGCAAAACTGCATGTCGCAAAGGTACAGTCCACAGCAGAAGTAATGTGTGGTTTCAGTCATGGGTATGTTCTGCTTCTGAAGCTTAGGAACGATTAGCCAGACTGCAACGAGACTTTAAATGTAGCTTACATGCATCTTCACCCTTGCAGCTACAACTTTATCTATTGACGTTTTCTTTTTAATCAGTCCGCATTTAAAAATCGTCGGTCAAAGCCATCCGTTGAGATTGGTAAAACCACACATTACTTTAGCGGTGGGCTGTACGTATGGACACAGGTGCGTCAAGGACAAAAGTACGTATCGCGAATATACGTATACGGTATTAACCCGCACCGGGCCGGGGGGTGCTTGAACGCCCCCCCCCCCCCCCGCCTGCGGTTTTTCGTAGATATATCAAAAACGGCGTTTTTGGCACACCTGTTAATGCATCTTTTCCGCACATGTGAAAATTTCAGACCCAGGGCTCTCAAGGTAAGGTCACCAGGTCACGTAAAGTGAGCTCACCTCAGCAACAAGTTTCAACCCTCGTCATAGCTACACCGACTGAACGATCGCCTTGAAACTTTCAGCAATTGCTAAGAGTAACGGTATGTACAAAATGTATCTCTCGGAATTTTGATGTCGGTGACCCAAGATCAGGTCAATTGTCACCGACGAAATGAACTGGCTCTATCGTTTTACATTTGACAGCCACGCATGATCTATCGCACTTCGCAATGCTGGTCGTACCCCGTGAGCCCGGACCAGCTCTTGTGTTAAAATTTCTCGTCTCATGTTCTAATTGCCTACAATTTGTCACTCGCGCTATCGCTTCACACTTGACGGCTGGGCGTGCTCGCCACGCACCGTATCCTTTTACTGAACGTGCTGTGTGGGCCTTTTCTGACTTTTCTCACCAGTTTCCATGCAGTTTCACTTTCTGAGTGCTGGGTCATTCCACGTCAAATCGATCAGAATTTGGTACTTTCGACCCCTACCCCTTTCGATTTCGATGAAATTTGGTGTGCTCGGAGTGCCCATGGAAGGTAATCTATTCAACAAGTTTCAGTCCTGGGTGACCTCTGAGGTCAGAGTTATGGGTCATGAAAGGTCAACGGTTTTTGCCGACATTGCGGGATTTAAATGCCCATTGCTCTGTAAGTAAGAGTGCGGGGAAGCTGCGGTAAGCGCCATTAGAGAGGCAATGGATGTAGGTTTTATTACGAGCGAGCGAGCGCAGCAAGCGAAGCGAGTCTTTTCAATATAACGGAAAAATCTCAGTATGAGCGGCCCGGCCCGGCCTGTAACGCTTTTGAGAGGCTTATATCTCAGCAACCGCTAGACCGATTGGCCTGCGGTCTTTTTTTTGCTGGGTATAGCCCCGTCTCTTCTACCCCGTAATTGACTACTTTTGATACATCTCAGTGACCGTCGTGGCACGTGCCACGTGAAAAGTCAAGGGTGTTCATGCTGTTTTGCAAACGTAGTGATTTTGAGAGGCTCATATCTCAGCAGCCGCTTGGGCGATTGTCTTGTGGTAATTTTTGTAGGGTAGCTGCATCCCTTCTACCAAAGGTCGGATACTCTTGATCTATGCGAGTGACCCCCACTGCACGTGCAAAATAAAAAAGAAGAGGTGCCAAATTTGCTCCCATTTCAATAACTCGATAATTACTGGGGCGTTTTCGCTGAAACTTGGCATACGGGTAGGCACCCACGAGGCAATGCATTCCCATGTGTTGCGGTTAAGGTGTTTCTGCACGTGCGCACGTGCATGAGGCGCTTCCAGATTTCGAGAACGGCTGGGCCGATTGCGCTCAAATTTGGCACACGGTTGGGGCCCAGTTAGTAGGGTGCCGTGCAAAAGTCAGTTTGGACCCCGTTTGCACGTGCGCACGTGCAGAGTGCCACTTCCAGATGTCAGGAATGGCTGGGCCGATTGCGTTCGAATTTGGCACACCGCTAGCGACCGGTTGGAAGGGTGCTTTGCACAAGCCCGTTGGAAGTACCCTCTCGCCCTTCTGCACGTGCAGGGCTCACTATCTCGCTCGCTCGTTCTTCGCCCCCAAAAGGCGTTTTACTGGTAGAAAATTTTATTACGAGCGAGCGAGCGCAGCGAGCGAAGCGAAATCTTTTCAATATAACGGGAAAATATCAGTAGGGGAAGCCGGGGGAAGCCCGGCATAGTAAGCTCTTTTTCATTTTTATTACATACCATACGTGCTGTATAAAATGTTAATATCCTGTTAGCTAGCTAAGTTCATTGGCCGTGATTTCCAAAAAAATCGGTTTCGTGGAATAAGTATAAGGTTGAGAAAATCGAGTTTTAAAAAAGTGTTGATTTTTCTGGGGTAAGCCCGGCATAGGGGTAACGCCGGCCACCTCCCCAGCGCTTTACAACGAGTTGATGAAACCATTAGGTATGTGTCTTCCAAATATTAACGGAAAGTGAACTATTAAGATACTGATTAGCTCTGGACATCTTAGAGTTTATGTCACTACTGGTATTTTAGCTAGCGTCTAACACATATACAGTACAGGTCGATGAAAATCGTGATACAAAATTGACAAAAAAAATGTGTATTTCGAAATTCCTTAAAATTTATTTTTCTTTTTACCTTAATGCATCATATTGCATATCATTCGACTCGGCTGATGAAGAAGAACACAGCGACACCATTTTTGAAGCTCTAGCTTCATTGTCTGTCGCGTTATCTGCAAAAACGTAGTTTGACCCTAGTTTACCTTAAGTGACATGACTGGCTTCGTCTATGATAACATGTTTATTTTCGAAATTTATCTTTGATCTAGGTGTAAACTAAACCTGCTCAGTACCTATTATCTCATGGAAAACAGTGGTTTAGTGGCATTGCTCTCGGTTGGGGGTAAGCTTGGCCACTCGCCCGGGGTTACCCCAATGTGCTAATTTTTATTTTAGAACAGCGATATTCGAAAAAAAATGTCATACTTAAGCCAGCCTGCCTCGTCACCCCTCACTACAAACACTTAAACGGTCCTTACATAACATTCGTATAAATATTAGTACTGTATGGTATAACATTAACAGTGCAACATATCTCACTTTTTAGCTAAAAACCCTTAAAATATCATTTTTGCGCTATAACTTTAACAATATGCAATTTTTGTTAGCCTTAACTTTTTTGCTGGCGTTACCTTAGCTGCCACGCTGAAAGGACAAACAGTTGAGCATTTTATTGTGAATAATTTAGCCGGAAACGGGGTGGCCGGGCTTCCCCCGCGCCCGGGCTTCCCCCGGCTTCCCCTACCTATGAGCGGCCCGGCCCGGCCCGGCCTGTAACGCTTTTGAGAGGCTTATATCTCAGCAACCGCTGGACCGATTGGCCTGCGGTCTTTTTTTTTCTGGGTAGCCCCATCCCATCTACCCCGTAATTGACTACTTCTGATACATCTCAGTGACCGTCGTGGCACGTGCCACGTGAAAAGTCAAGGGTGTTCAAGCAGTTTTGCAAAAGTAGTGATTTTGAGAGGCCCATATCTCAGCAGCGGCTTGAGCGATTGTCTTGCGGTAATTGTTATAGGGTAGCTGCATCCCTTCTACCAAAGGTCAGATACTCTTGATCTATGTGAGTGACCCCCACTGCACGTCCAAAATACAAAAAAAGAGGTGCCAAATTTGTTCCCATTTCAGTAACTCGGTAATTACTGGGGCGATTTCGCTGAAACTTGGCATACAGGTAGGCACCCACCAGGCAATGCATTCCCATGTGTTGTGGTTAGGGTGCTACTGCACGTGCGCACGTGCAGGGGCGTTTCCAGATCTCGAGAACGGCTGGGCCGATTGCGCTCAAATTTGGTACACGGTTGGGGACCGGTTAGTAGGGTGCCGTGCAAAAGTCATTTTGGACCCCGTTTGCACGTGCAGAACGCCGCTTCCAGATCTCAGGAACGGCTGGGCCGATTGCGTTCAAATTTGGCCCACCGCTAGCGACCGGTTAGAAGGGTGCTTTGCACAAACCCGTTGGAAGTACCCTCTCGCCCTTCCGCACGTGCAGGGCTCACTATCTCGCTCGCTCGTTCTTCGCCCAAAAGGCGTTTTACTGGTAGGTATATGTCTATGACCTTTTGTGGTATCGCGAATTGTCCCCCTCCGCCCGGGAGCTGGCGACGCCACTGGCGGCGCCGGCACGCAGACGCGGCGGCTCGAGAGAGTCGGTCCCAGGGTATATTGAGTGAAGGGTAGGACGAACTTTGGTAGGAATTTCTAGGAGAAAGCCTACTATATGTGGTCGGGACTAGCAAAAAGTTAGTTCAAACTAGAATATGGTAGCGCTTATGGTTGGCAGTCGTGACGCGCACGTGACATTCATTTCTTAACCCGCGCACCGACGGGGGGGGGGCGGATATCCGCCCCCCCCTGATGTTTTTCGCGAATAGCGGGAAAACCGCGGCGCGTAGCGCCGCGAAATTTGGTATGACTATTCCCTCATCAATTTTACACATGGTGTGCAAGTTTGAACCTCCTACCTTTCAAGGTCAGGTCACCAGGTCACTTTGAATGACCCAACCTCAAGTCACTTTTTTGCAAATTTGTCACCGTGCCAGAGCTACAGTAGATGTCGGAAGCCTTTGAAAGTCGCAGGATGTTATTAGGTCATTAGTAGCTACAATTTGTATATCTCGG